TTTAAAGAAATACTTTCATTATTTTTACTTTTATTTAAAATAATATCAAAATAACTATCTGCATCTGAGAATCCTGCTAATCAAGCATTATTTAATATATTAGAATTATCTATAGGTTTAATATTAATTTTATTAATTTTAGATAATATATTATTTCTTATATTTATATTATATATATTATAATTATTTATAATAGTTGTATTAGGTTTATCTATATAATCATTTATTCATTTAATAGCTTTTATTATTAAATAATATTTAGATGTTCTATAATAACCATTAGTATAATTTAATAATTTATATATATCTTCAATACTTTGTATTTGTCATATACAAACATTACTATTATTTCTTTTATTTATATAACCTATATTAAATATATTTTTTAAATATTTTGCTAATTCATAATCATTATTTTTAAATACTATAGATATTTTAGGTGATTTATTTATATTATTAAATATATAAATATTACGGTGGATTTCTATTAATCCTGTAATATAACTACATAAATTGTCATTTATTTTAGGATTGACTTGATTAAAAGTCTTATCAATATAAGTAGAATAATATGTAATTCCTTTAAATATTGCATTTCTTTTTACAAAGATTTTATTAAAAATAAAACTATAACATATATATATATATATATTAATTTCACCAAAGGCCCCTATGATTACAGGCATAACAAATAAGAATATCATTGCTATTGCATGTCCTGTAATCAATACGTTATATGCTTGATTATTCCCATGAAAGAATTGACTGTTACCGCTGGACAGCTCCATTCTTATTATAACTGACATACCAGTACCTACCATAGATGCTATCATACCATATCCTAAATATAGTATAGCTATATCTTTATGAGATGTACTATATAATCAACGGGTTATATAACTCATTTGTTTCATTTACAAATGATTACCCTTTATTTTCTAATCTTTATTATCTCTATCTTCATTACTTCTCCTTATATTTTTAACACCTTTTATTATATATATATATAATAAATAATAAATATAAATAGTTTATAGATAAAATAATATCTCCGTCATCATAAATATAGTAGTGATATATAAATAGTATGGGTATAACCCCCTCATATATTAAATATGAGGGGGGGGGATCAATAATATTAATATAAAATATATATATATGTATATATAAATAAATATAAGAATAAATAAAAGGATAATAAAACAAAGTTATTAAAAATAAGGAAATAAAAATTAAATGAATAAATAAGCATCTAATAAATAGATAAGAGTAGGTAAGAATATAGCTAAACCCGAATAAAAGAGGTAAGAAAACAACTCAACACATAGCGATTAATTTATCATATCTAACTCTAGGTAAAGTAGCTCTAACTCAGATATAAGTAAAAGCAAATATATTAGCTTTAATACCTAAAATAATACCTGTACCACCTCCGAAGAAAAGGATAGAAGTAAGAGTAGATAAGAAAAGTATAGAAGCATATTCAGATAAGAAGAATAAAACAAAAATAGAAGAAGAATATTCAGTCATATGACCTGAAACTAATTCTGATTCAGCTTCAACATTATCAAAAGGAGGTCTAGCACATTCAGCAACACAACCTATAAAGAATATAATAGATAAAGGTAATAATGGTATACCAATTCAAATAGATTCTTGTAATTCAACATATCTTGATAAATTCATAGATCCAGCTAATAAAATACATAATAATATAATAGTTGTTAATACTAATTCATAACTAATTAATTGTGCTGTTGAACGTATAGAACCTAATAATGAATATTTACTATTAGCTGATCAACCAGCTAATAAAGTACCAAATACACCAACACTACTTATAGCTAAAGTTAAAATAAAACCATAATTATGATCAATAATAGTTATACCTGGACCAAAAGGTATAACAGATCAACATAATAAAGCTGATATTAAAGCTATCATAGGACTAACAAGTAAAATTAATTTATCTGCATGTGTAGGTAAAACTATTTCTTTTAATAATAATTTAGCTGCATCAGCTATAGCCATTAATAAACCATAATAACCTACAGCATTAGGACCAACTCTACGTTGCATATAACCTAATGTTTTACGTTCTGCTACTGTTAAAAATGCTACAGCTAATAATATAGATACAACAAATAATAATAATTCTAATATATTCATATTTATTTAGTTACAGCTATAGCCCCTATAACAGATAATATTAATATTAAACCAGTTATTATTAATAATATAGCATATTCCGTATATAATTGATTACCTACAACTATTAACTCATTAAATATATTATCTATATTAGTTACTATACCATATGTTTCATATGTTATATCTAACGGTATTAAACATATAGCTAATAAAGTTATAACTAAAGGAGATATAGTACCTTGAGGTTTATAATCAATTTTAAGTAAAGATAATATAAATAAAAATAATATAGCAATAGCACCAACATAAATAAGTATATATAATATACCCATTAATACAAAACCTTGATTATATAAACAAATGGCTGTACTAATAAAAAGAATAATAAGACAGAAAATACTTTGTACAGGTGATAATAAACCTATAGCAAGTATACTGCTTAATCCACTAATTAAATTCATAATAAAAATAAATAAAATAAAAAAGTTTTTTCTAACAAGAAAATATCACAAAGTTTATACATACTAAAACGTTTAAGTTTGGAATTGAACCAAAATACATGTATTAACAGTACATTGCTTTACCATTAAGCTACATAAACTTATTCTTGTTCTCCTAATCATTCAACAAATTCGTTAATTGAAACACATTCTAATTTAATAGGCATTAAACTATGATTAATACCACATAATTCACTACATTGACCATAATAAACACCTGTTCTTTGTATTAATGCACTTACTTGATTTAAACGACCAGGTGCTGCATCTATTTTAATACCTAAAGAAGGTAAAGCAAATGAATGTAAAACATCATTAGCTGTTACTATAAATCTTATATGAGTATCTACTGGTACAACTATAGAAGTATCAGTATCTAATAATCTTAATTGTCCCTCTTCTAACATGTCCTCAGGTATTATATATGACTCATACTCTATTGTTTCACCTGTTTCTGATACAAAATCTGAATATTCATATTTTCAATATCATTGTAAACCTATAACTTTAATAGTCATAGCTGGTGTTAAAACTTCATCACATAAGTATAATAATATAAAACTAGGGAAAGCTATAAGTAATAGAACAACAGCTGGGAATATAGTTCATATAATTTCTAAAGTTTGACCATGTTTAATATATTTATAAGCAAATGTATTATTTTTAAAATCTTTAATTATAACATATAATATATAAGAAACTAAACCTAATATAACTGCTAAATAATACATTATATGATCATATAATTCATGTATACCTTCTTGGTTAGGTGTTGCTGAATCTTGCAAACGTATACCTCAAGGTGTTGGTACATCTAATCAAATCATTTTAATAATTATTTATATTAATTTATATAATAAATCCATAAATATATGGAATCAATCGGAATTGAACCGATATTGTTCGCATGCAAAGCGAAAGATTTACCAATTAATCTATGATCCCTTTATATATATATATATATTGTATGGTATATGAATAAAATTAATAAGATTATATATATTTATATATATATATAACTTAAACATACTAGTATTGTATGATTAAACTTATTCGAAGGGTTTAATATTTGAGAAGCATTCAATATGTATCCTCAACCTTCTTAGCTAATATGTTTAAAATATAAACATAAAACCATAGGAAAGCACCTCGCTATCCTTTCGTACACTCGAGGCAACGAATAAGAAAATAACCCATAGATGATAAAATCATTACTGACTCACGTCGTAATTAACCCATCTCAAGTGACTCCTTAGAGGACGAACAGTCCTACCCTACCTAGTTGCTACGACCAGGAGGACGAGTCTAGACGACCAAAATTGTTATCGTTAATCTCTTTATATTAACTTCTATATATTTCTATATAGTTCAGACTATGTCTTAAATATCTATTATATATATATATATATAAATATTTTAGGGCTTTCGTGGTAGGATTATTGTTATAATACTCACCTACTAGTCGTTGAACGTTTCAATCACTTTTATTTATAATAATATAAATATTTATATGAAAGACTTCGCTGCAAGTCATCATAGTTAAAACCTTAGACTTTCTTGCAATTAACCCTATTTAACCTCAACTATCGTATTAATCGAGGTGGCAAACACCGCTGACGATATCAACTCTCACGCGGTATTACCCTGTTCAATTATGTTATCGTTGATCTCTTTATATCAACTTCTATATATTTCTATATAGTTCAGACTATGTCATCATCATAATTTATAATTATCCTCATTATATAGGGATCATATAATATATTTTAATATATATTATTCCTTCCTTATGAGTGAAATTATAAATCTTAGATGTTGGGCGCTCGTGGTAGAATTATTGTTAGTTTACTCATCTACTAGTCGTTGAACGTTTTTATATCTACAAATGAACTAATATAAACTTCGCTGCAAATTATCTTTTCATAAAAAATGATTAAGACTTTTATGCAATTCACCCAATTATGTTATAATATATATATTTCTATATATAAGGGACTAACATTTAATCCCTAGCGTAACTTTAATCCGTTATCGACATCCAAATCTAATGATTATGCCTGTTCACTACACTCTACTTAAGTACTAATTCCACTTGTTAGTGTTATTATCATCGCACAATTATGTTGTTATCCTTACATATATTTATATATAATTATATATTTATATTCTATTTACCATATAGAAATATTGTACGTTGTCTTACTATTATATAATAAATTTAATAAAACATTATAAATTTATAGACACATCAGATGCTTTCGCTGATGTCGACGCCCCATCGAAACTAACCTCTTTACTCTGTCTCTTATTATAAAATTTATAAAATATATATATACTTATTTTTATAAGTTTATATATTTAATTATTATAAATTAAAAGATAAGATTCTATTACTTTAAATATAGGTATCTCATTGTTATTATTAAAATAATCATAAGTAAATTATGATAAATATAATTACCTAATAAACTGAAATAAAAAGTTGTCAAATCAAAATAAAGATATAGTAAAGCTGCATAGGGTCTTTTTGTCAAACTACGGGTACACGGCATCTTCACCGCGAATGCTATTTCACTGAGTCTACTATGGATACAGTTGTCGCATCGTGTATTCATTCATGCAGGACACCAATTATGCGTCAATGAATTTCGCTACCTTCGGATCCTCACAATAAGACCGCCGTTAACATACCTTTTCAAATAATATACAAATAATATATTAAATATATTAGGCATACACCGGGCAGATATCACTTACTATACTTACTATTTCTAGAACGCAGTAAGCTATGTTTTTGGTAAACAGTCGCACGACTAAAAGCTTTATGCTAATTTGCCGAGTTCATTCACAGTAGTTGTCTCATTCTCCTTTATCATACCTGTGTCGGTTTACAGTACGGTTCTTTTACTTTTCTTGTTCTATCACCCATCAATTTTATATTTCTATCTTAATCTTAGGGACCGTTAGTTTATTATAAAACCTTATGATTCTTTAAATATATATATATATATTTTATTGGAGGGTAGTCTTATACTACCTATCGTTACTCAAGCCAGCAATCTCTTTATGATTATATTTATTTTATCATATATTCTGCTACCATATAAATATTTAAAAATATTTATATCTATAATTATGTTAAATATTTAGACCCGTATATTTTCTCTAATAACTATGTCACATCAGTGCATTGTTACATGTCCATTAACAGATGATTATTGTCAAACCCGCTGACTGATTGTCTATCTAAAGTTATTAGATTTTATTCACTTAATATAATTTATATAAATATAAATTATATATAACTTTAAAGTTATATACTTATTTGGGACATTTATTTAATAGTCTAGGTTGTTTCCTTTTAGACCTACTACCTTATCGCAATAAGTCTGACTCCTTACAATATGGTTTACTGTTCCGAGGTTTAAATCTTTTGATAAAATTATATTATAATCCCCCAAAATGATTTAAGTGCTGTACCAGTTATTACTTTATGTAAAGGCTATACTAATATATATTTCGCAGAAAACCAGCTATCGGCAAACCAGATTTGTCTGTCACTCCTACACACACCTCTTTAGAGAATATTGCTACATCCACCTATTCAGACTCTAATATAAATATTAGATCTTAGACATGTGTAGATCGTTTGCTTTCGGGCCTATATATATTAACTAAAGATTGATTAACTCAATTTCTTTATAATTTTATTATTACGCTAATATATATAACTCACTGGCCCATTATACAAGAGGTACGCCATACTATGACTGCTCTCTATTATTCTATTTACTCCTTTTCCCTCACGGTACTTTTAACTTAATACTTATTTATTGTCTTAGTAGTAGACACTACTTTATTCTCACCTCTTGATGATACTTTAAGACTACTATACTTTCACTCACCGTTACTTATATAGCCCCTGTTGGTTACTTTCGAGCTACTCAGATGTTTCATTCCACTCGATTTGTTTTACTCATTTTCATGATTTGATTGGTTAAAATTTTTAACCTTTCTATCAACTTAAATATTAGTTTTAGATCCTTAAAATAATATTATTTTCATATACCTTTTTTCAATATATCACCTTATATATATATAAATATATATTAACCTTTATTGAGATTAGAATGAGGATCATGACCTACTCGAGGTTACCATACCACTCCCACCTTCGTGGGGGGGAGGGTTATATATAACAATGAATAAATATAATAAATTTATTATTAATAATATAGGTATATTTATTAATAATCTACTTATACCTGTACTACCTAAAACTTTAAGTAAACCATTATCAACATAATAATTTAATTTACCACCAAAATTTAATACTGATCTTATTACTAAATTATTTAATAATTGATCATAATATATACGTTGGTTAAAGTAATTATATATATTAGATTTATTAATTTTATATGAGAATTCATAAATATAAACTAATAATAATGATAATGATAAACCTAATATTAAAGGTAATAATTTAAATATAGCAGGTATTGTATATTCAGTTTCTATAAATGTATTAGTATGAGGTAATCCCATTGTTAAATGGAAAGTTACATTATCTCTATAGTAACCTAAGAATATACTATATATTGCTAATATAGTCATAGGTATAGCCATATGAGTACTTTCATGTACATTAGAATAAGTTAATTTATTACCACGTGGAACATTATAGAAAGTTAAATATAAAACTCTAGTAGAGTAAATAGCTGTTAATGTAGCTGAAGCTGTAGCTAAGTAATACATTATATAACCACTAACAGAATAAGTACCATATAATGTTTCTATTATTATATCTTTAGAGTAATAACCTGTTAAACCAGGTATAGCCATTAAAGATAATGATGCTATAAACATAGTAGTATAACTAAATGGTAAATATTCTATTAAACCTCCATATTTACGCATATCTTGAGTTTCTGACATATAACTATGTATAATAGATCCTGCTGACATAAATAATAAAGCTTTAAAGAATGCATGACAATATAAATGGTATATAGCTAAGTCATATGCACTTGATCCTATAGCCAACATCATCATAGCCAATTGGGACATTGTAGATAATGCTATAACTCTTTTTATATCATTCGTAACTACTGCTATTAATCCACTTATTAATGTTGTTAATCCGGCTAATCATAATATACCTAATAATACTGATGGTGTATATTCTAATATAAATGATGATCTTACTAATACAAATACTCCTGCACATACCATTGTTGCTGCATGTAATAGTGCACTAACAGGTGTAGGCTAATATTTTATCTAATTACTTTCATAATTAATTGGACTATATCATAATAATATATATATATATATTATTCTTTACGTGTAGTCTCTGAGGATCTTATATAAATATATATATAATTTCCTGCTGATTATCCATTATTATCTATATTATTTTTACATATAAGTAAACATAGCTTTAGGATATTCCAGCATATAGTAAAGTTTAAGGAGGGCCCTTATATTTTTATTAAATTTATTTTTATAAATACTTTATTATTTATACCCATATATAACCCTCCATTGCAGACAGCAATCAACCGTGCAATCCTAGTTGTGCACTTTTAGCAGTTGCAGCTATTAATAACATAATAGCTAAAGAATTTAATATAGAAGTATCAACATGAGGTACTAATAATTCAATAGTATTAAAATCAACAGCATGGAAAAAAGATAACATACATCCTATACATATAACAAATAATGTATCACCCATACGATTTAATAATATAGCTGATAAAGCACTTTTCATAGCTGCTATACGTGTATTTCAGAATGATATTAATAAATATGATATAACTCCTACGAATTCTCATCCTATAAACATCATAACATAATTTTCACTTACAACTAATATAGTCATAAATAAAGCAAATACACTTAATATTATATAGAAACGATTACGATTAGGGTCATGTCTCATATAATCTAAAGCATATATTAATACTGCTAATGTTACTATTCCTACTGGTACCATAACAACCATAGATAATGAATCTAATAATATACCATAATTTATATTTATATCACCTAAAGATATTCAAGTACCAAAATTAATATAAATTGGTTCTTCAAAGAAATAAGTTAATCAATACATTATAAAATATTAGATACTTTCCCTCTTAATCTGTAGTATGATACTAATAAACTTAAACCTATAGCAGATTCAGCACCTGCTAAAATTATAATAAATATAGCATATAAAGTAGATTCTACATCATTAAATTGACCTCCTATATATATTATTTTAACTGTTACTGTTAATAATAATATTTCTATAGCTATTAATAATGTTATTATATTATTTTGACTGACATAAAATGTCAATAATGTTGTTAACATTGCTATCATTTTTTTTTTATATGTTTTATTTATTTCTATATGTTAATTTTTTATATTATTTAAGTATTTTTACTCATTACCATATTTTTGATAGCTATATTTTATATTAATAGCTATTTTATTAACAATCCCCCCCTCATATATATATGAGGGGTTTATAAATATATAGATATATATTTTATGAAATGTAATATGATATATATTTTAATAATAATAATTTTATTAGGGATAATATCTTTTAAGGTAAATAAATAAAATAAAAAGTAAAAAGAATAAATAAAAAGAAAGATTAATGTAAGTAAAGAGAATCTTTAATATAACCACTAAATAAGATACAGAAAACATAGGCTTGAATCATAGATATAGCGAATTCTAGACCAACTATAGCTATAACACCTGCCATAGGTATGAAACCACCTATGAAACCTAAAATAGAAGTACTCATTAAGTTAAGTATTAAAGAACCTAATATTAACATAAGTAAGTGACCTGATAAAACGTTAGCAGATAAACGTAAACCTAAAGAAATAGCTCTAGAGCTATAAGATAATGTTTCAATTAAAACTAACATAGGTACTAAAGGAAGAGGAGTACCACTAGGTACAAATAATGCAAAGAAACCTCAACCATGTATAGTTAAACCTAATATAACATTACCTATTCATAAAGATAAACTAAATGCTATTATTGCTACTAATTGTGCTGATATAGCAAAAGAATAAGGTATCATTGATATTAAATTAGCTATTAATATAAAATTAAATAATGTAAATATTAATGGAAAGTAATATCCTCCACGATTACCTATTTGACTTTTAGTCATATTTAATATTGTATCATATACTGCTAATACTGCTACACCTCATCTATTTCATCCTAAATATGATTTATTTAATAAAAATATAACACTATATATTAATGTTACTACTATTATTAAATATATTACATAATTAGTTATACTTAATGTTAAAATGTTATTTACTGTTAATAATGGTTTTATTTCAAATTGCTCTAATGGTGAAAATATCATTATAATAAAAAAAAAATTAATTATACCATCTATATATAAATATTTTATATATTTATATAACAGGTTTAGTAATAGTATATATATATTTATATACTTATAAAATATATTATCATATCCTACGAAGTGGAAATGAAAATAAATAAAAACTTAAATAAGTTATAATTTTCCACCTTCCATCTATATGGGAGTGGGATGATACCCCTTTAGGGGCATGCCCCTCCACTCTTAGAGAGAGGGGATTTACATTATAAATAAAATTATTTATAATTTAACAATAAGTATTCTAGCTATTAATAATCTTAATATATTAGGTAAAATTAAAGTAGATATAAAGAATAATAATAAAGCAATAGCTAAAATACCAAAAGTTAATAAATTAAGAAAGTAAAAAGGTACTAATTGTGGCATAAAAATATATAAAAATAATAAATGATAAAATAAAAATATATAAAAATATATAAATATAAAAAATATAAAAAACCAATCAGATTGAAGGGACTTGAACCCCCATAGCCCTACACCCAATGTAGATACGTTACCAATTACGCAACAATCTGTAGTAAACCGAGATAATGAGAATATTAGAATCAAAAAGGGAAATAAATAAAGTCCAAGATAAATAAAATAACTCGAGATCAAATAGAACATTGAGGGAATTGAACCCTAAGAAACTAATTTGCAATCAGTACATTCAACCATGAATAACAATGTTCAGAATATGACAAGCGTGGATCGAACACGCAAGATAGCATTGGAAGTGCTAGGGTTTACCAGTTAACCTATTGTCACAAAATAACCACAGCGGGAATTGAACCCGCATATATACTGTGAAGTAGTAGTATCATACCATTAGATCATGTGGTCTTAAATAAAATATAATGTCGTATTGAGGAATCGAACCCCACACCTTCCGATTACAAAACGGACGCTGTGCCTGGTCAGCTTATACGACTTTATCCTTGCCTAAGATAGGATTTGAACCTATATTAGATGCATATGAGGCATCTGTTCTAACCTTTAAACTACCTAAGCATGGATAACTACTGAGACTTGAACTCAGATATATCGCGCCACATGCGAGTGTTCTACCTTTGAACTATAGCTACCTTTTGAGGAGGGACTGAATCGAACAGTCGCAGCACTACGGCACTAAAGTTACAATTTAGGTCTAATTACCAACATTAGAACCTCCCCTTTATTATTAACCATCAAATACCTTTTGATGTTAATATATATATATATATTTTATTACGGTTAGTAGGAGTCGAACCTACACGGTCTAAGCCTGGACATCTTAAGTGTCCTATGTCTACCATTTCATCATAACCGCTTACCTTAAATATATATATATTTATATATATATATAACACCCCACAAGGAGGTGTCATCCCCCTTAAGGGTAGGATAACTATGAATAAATTTTTATAATATTAAAATTATTTATTATATAAACGTGTTATTAAAGGTTTAACAATAGGTGTAAAACGTCTTTCAAGATTTAAAGCACCTAAATTTATTTCATAAACAAATGCAATAACAAGAGATAATAAGAATATTATTAATATAGATAAACCATATAAACCATTAGAATAAGCACTAACAACATATGGTAATATAGAAGATATTTCTAAATCAAATGGTAAGAAAAGTATAGCAACTAAAATGAAAGCTACACTAAAAGCAGATCTAGATTGTTGATATGAAGTAAAACCACATTCAAAAGGACCATTTTTTTCACTATATGAATTATTTATAGATATTAAATAATTTAATACTATAAAAAATAAAGCTAATATAGGGGCTAAATATAAATAAATTTTAAACATTTTATATAGTTATTAAATATAACCCTTCTGATATAGCTGGTAAATATATAAAGAAACTTATTAATAAAGTTGTAGATAAAGCTATAGTATATGCTAATGATGGATTAATATAATTAACAACTTTATTAGTTTTACTTGTCATTAATACTTTAATAATATTAGCATAATAATAAGTAGCAATAACACTACAAATAACTATAGTAATAGTTTCAATAATATAATTATCTTGTAAAGCTGCTGATAAAATATAGTATTTAGCATAGAATCCTGGTAAAGGTGGTATACCTATTAATGAAAATAAAGCTAATATTAAACATAAAGCTAAAGTTAAATTAGGTAATTTTAATTGATGTATATATAATAAAGGTGATCATTTAGATATAGGATTATTTATATATTCACTTGCACTTAATATACCTAAGAATAATATTAAATGAGTTAAAACATATTGTATTAAATATATATATAATGATGAATCATAAGATATAATAGTTAATAAAATATAACCAAAATTAAGTAATCCACTATATGCTAATATTGTTTTTATATTAACTTGAAATAATGGTTTATAAGCAGCTATAAATAATGATAAATAAAAGAATATTATTAAAATATGATGATGGAATAATGAAGCATTAGAAAATATTCATGATACTATAGATAATTTAGCTACAATACTTATATAAGCAGTTATATATGTAGGTGCATAATTATATACAGCTATACTTCAACGATGTAAAGGTGCCATACCCATTTTAAATAATAAAGCTATTAATAAAATATCAAAATAATCATAAGCATTACTATAAGAATAGAATATCATTATATCTGATATATTAGTTGTACCTGTTAAAGCATATATAAAATATGATGATATTAATATTATAGTTGAAGCTATACCTCCCATTAAAAAGTATAATAAAGAAGCTCTAGAAGCATTATAAGATCTATTATGTAAACCAGTTAATAAATATAAAGAATAACTTTGTAATTCAATAACAACATATAATGATAATAAATCATTAACTAATGGGAATAATAATAAACCTATAATATTAGCTAATAATAATAATAAATAATAAGGTGATTTTAAATCATATCTTTGATTACTTGTAGTATATATTAATAATATTATAACTAAACTTAATATTAAATATATTATAGGTAAATTAGTAGGTGTTAAACTAAATCAATTATTATATAAAGTTATACCTGGAGATAATGCAACAATATCAGTAGATATTATTAACATTATTAATGTAAATATAATAGTTAAAGTACCTAATCTATTAACTATTATAGAATGACTATTTTTAAGACCAATAAGTCTTAAAGATTCATTAGGAAAAGTTGAGAAAACTAAAAAAATTAAAAATGATGTAAATAACATTTTAAAGAAATTAATAATAAATATATATTATATAAATATATAATGATCTAATTAGATCATTATATAAAATAAATATATAATGGCATAGTAAGAATCGAACTTACATAACATTATTCGTAATAATATGCACTAACCATTATGCTATATGCCAACGGATAGCCAGCGAGTCGAACGCTGAGAACATAAATGTTACTACATAGCAAGTAGGTCGGCTTACCAATGCCTAGCTATCCTTTTATTATTATTTAAATTTATTAACGCTTTGCATCAGACTCGAACTGACAACTCTTATAGTGACATTATAAGGCTTTACCTTTAAGCTACCAAAGCTATAACTGAGTCGGCATGATTCGAACATACATAAGCCTATCTCAAATATAGGGGACTTGCCAATTAGTCTACAACTCATCTCATAATAATTATACAATTCATATTTTATTATATATTCATAACCCGTTGTAGACTGTACAATCTTTTTCATTTGAAAAAGATTAGTCTACAACTCATACTTATTCTTTATTATATTTATTATTATCTTCCCTCCCTTCCTCATATTTAATATATGAGTAAGGGGGGATAACACTTATAATATATAAATATCTTAATATAAATATAAAATATATATATATAAATATAAGAATATAAATCGATTTATCACACCCTCTAAGGGTAGGGAGGGTAAAATAAATGATCACCAGGCATATGGTGATAAGGGGGGGGGGTGTGTAAAGAAATAAAATTAGTCTAGTAAGAATTGAACTTACATCTATCGATTATCAATCGATCTCTCTACCATTGAGATATAGACTATTGAGTAGAATATATTTAAAAATAATAAAACCCGATCAGGTTCCCCTAACCGAACCGTATTTCAACTTACAGCAGGTCACTTGTAAACAAACCTAGGTCAAATTTAACTTAATTAAAAGTTAAAAATGTAAGGAAAGTAAGAGTTTCTTGCTGTTGATGAGTGGTTAGTACGAAGTAGTTAAAAATTTCACCGCGACACTCTAGTTCGCGATTACTAGCAATTCCTCCTTCATGTAATCGAATTTCAGACTACAATCCATGAAAGTAACTATGTCATAATCTTATTGTTTAATATTTAAATTAATTTTAAAATATAAATATAATTGTCAATAACTTCGTAACACGTCTATAGCCCATCTCATAAGGGTCATCATGATTAGTCTTCGGCCCCGACTTCCCATTATTTCTCAATAATGCTTAATATATAAAAATATATATAAGGGATTACGTTCATTAAATAACTAAATATTAAACCTCACGGCATGAACTGACGACAACGATGTAACGCCTGTAAGATATTCAAGAGATGGTAAGATTTTAGGAGGATTATCCAATTAAACGACATGTTCCACTGCTCATGACTACAACCGTCTAATGTCTTGTATTTCACCCTTGCGAGCGTACTAGTCAGGCGGAATACTATTCATTTTCACTTTTCTTTTATTGTATTCATAGTTCACTGCTACGACTAAATGGGTATCGAATCCATGTTGCGCCCGTAGCCTTCACCTCACAACGTCAATAAATTATTGTGATTTTATTGCTGTCATAATGTTTTCGTTGTATTTCATCCCTCTAACTTTATTTCATATCACTTTATAATTTATTCTAATTTATTTTAATTATAAATCGTTCTACAGGTTCTTTAAGCCATTCCGAACAATGCTAGCCCTCCATGTCTAACCGCAGCTGCTGGCACATGTTTTAGTTAGGACTTTTTCATATATATATCATTATTATATATACTTAGAAGTTTATAGTTTTCCTTTAATTATTTTTATCTAATAATATTTCCCCCCGAAGGGAGATATAAAATTATTTATATAATTTCCTTCTCGTAGATAGCTTGATCAATCGTTAGATCATTGTCAAAGATTCCCCACTGCTGCTCTTAATAAGAGTAACCTCTATCGAAGTTATGTGGCCGTTGTGACGAAAATCGCCGGCTCCAGTTCCATGGCTAGATTTTTACATCTAATACCTACATCTGTAATGTATAATTTTTTTTATACATTGTCACTCACCTTATCACAATTTATATATATAAATATATAAATTATTTGCATGTGTTATGCCTCTACATAGCATTAGATCTGAACCAACATCATGTTCTCATTTATTTTGTTAATTTATATTGAATTACTCAGAATTGAACTGAGATACATCCATTATGAGTGGACTGCTCTACCATTGAGCTATAATTCATTTCTTATGTGCAGTAGATAGATTCGAACTACCAATTACAAGGTTATGAGCATTGCATGTTACCATTACATTATACTGCTTACCTTATATATTTTTTATTTATTCTATCCTTTTTTATCTTCTCCTTATTTTATATTTATTATCTATATAAACATATATAGCTATCTAATACCTAATAATAGATTTATTTATAATATATATACTTTATTACTTATATACATATTATGCCTCGTAAAGTAATATCAACCCCTCCGAAAGGGGTATAAATGACCCACAAGAAGTTATCATACCCCCCCCTTTTTATTAAAAAAAGGGGGGGGGGTAAATTATTATTCTTTATACCTCACATATTATTCCCCGCCACCAAATTATTGGTGGCTATATTTAAGAATCTATAAAATATTCTTTATATATAATATATTATATATATATATACTCTTTAATATATATATATTTCCTATTATATTTATATAGGTATAGTGAATATGTAAATAATATACTTTATAAATATATAAATATTTATTATTATATATATATATAAGTTAAATGAATAAATATAAAAGAGAAGGAGCGTCTCATAATAAGTCTGTTAATCAAATAGGGAAAATACCTAAGAAAATAGTTGGTATAATTAAAGATAACATAAGAATAGTTTCTCTATAAGTACAATCAGCTGTTAGACTTACATAAGGTGTTTTAACACCACCTGTTAATCTATTAGTTAATTTCATTTGATAACAAGCTGATAAAAGAACAGAGATAGCAGCAATACCACCAAGTAAAGGAGCTCTATTAATAGAACCAGTTAATGATAATAATTCTCCTATAAAGTTAATAGATAAAGGAGTACCTATGTTACAGAAACTTAATATAATAAAGTAAACTGATAAATAAGGCATATAAGTTATTAAACCTTGGAAATATTGTACTAATCTATTATGATATCTATCATATAATATACCACCAACTATAATAAATAAACCTGGAGATACAAAACCATGAGCTATAGATAAAACTAAACTACCTGTTATACCTGTTATACTATTAGAAAATATACCTAATATACAAACAGCCATATGTGATATAGAACTATATGCTATTATAACTTTTAAATCAGTTTGTCTTAAAGTTATAATTGATGTATATATTATTGTTATTATACATATTATATATATAATAGGTGTATATAATATAGAAGCATCAGATAAAGTAGGTAAAATTAATCTTATTATAGCATAAACTGCTAATTTTAATATAACTCCAGCTAATAATATTGAACCAGCTAATGGTGATTCTGAATGTACTACAGGTAATCAAGTATGTACAGGTACTAATGGTGTTTTAACAGCTATACCTATTGATATAGCTAAAAATAATATACATTGTAAATCTATAGATAAAACTAATAAACTTGTTGCTTGATAATCAGTATTATCAATTATAACTTCATATAATGCTATAGCTAATAACATAAATAAAGATGAAAATAATGTATATATTAAAATATAATCAGCTGCTTTATCTTTATTTGCTGCACCATATAAACCTATTAATATAAATAAAGGTGCTAATGATGCTTCAAAATATATATAGAAAGATGTCATATCTTGACACATAAAATTTATTAATAATATTATACCTAAATTTAATACTAATTCAAAATATAAATTACTACGTATATTATTTCAATTAGATATTATTGATATAGGTAATATATATATAGTTAATAATATTAAAACATCAGCAAAACCATCTGTAGTATAATATACATCTATTTCTGATCAATCATATAATGTAGGTATTGCTATCAATACACTAGCTATTAAAAATATATGTTTAGATATATTATTAAATATTCTAGATGTTATTGATGTTAAACCTGTTAAAAATATAAATAATAATGTCATTTATTTTATTTTAATTTAATTTTATTATCTTGTCTATGACTAAAGGGATTTGAACCCTTATATATAAATATAATTAGACCTAAACTAATCGCGTCTACCAATTCCGCCATAGTCATACGGATGCAACGTGATTCGAACACGTGGATCTTTCAATCTTAATATCTCAAATATTATGCTTTAAACCTCTCAGCCATACATCCTTACCTTATATATTTATAGTATAAATATATATATATAGCCACCAGGTATATCCATTTATATTCCCTGAAGGGGTACGTAAAGGGTAAATATATCTTTATTTTTTCTAATTTATATTGCATACTAAGTATAATATATGGTTTTATTAATTTTATAATAATAGACATAGATTTAACAGTAATATAAATTCTAAATTAATATTTTCTATAATTTTATTATCAGCTAAATGTAAAGTTATAATTATATTAAATTTAGTTAATAATAAATTTTGTAATCAAATAACTTCATATAAAAAAGAAATAAAATATATATTATAAGGCCCATACCTTCTATTAGAAATAATTCTTTTATATGTCATATATTATTGATACTATGAATAAATATTTTATACATTATTTTTGTATATAATAAATCTTAATGATGTACTATTATATCTGTTTAAAATTAAACAGCGTATAATAATAGGAAAGAAATCATAAGACAGAATAATCCACAAGCCTCCGCAAGAGCGAACCCTAGGATTGCTTGAGGGAATAATGTTGAACGTAAAGAAGGGTTACGTGAAGTACCGTTAATTAAAGCTACGAATACTAAAGCAATACCTATGGCTGCTCCTCCTAATCCTAATGTTGCTATTGAAGCTCCTATGTATTTTGCTGCTAATGCTAATTGCATATTTATTAAAAAATTTATATCTATTTATACTTTTCTTCTCCTTATTATAATATATATTATTATTGTTAAAATAACTCCCTTCAAGGGGGTGTCAACCCCATTAGGGGGGAGGTATAACTATGAATAAATAAATAAAGAAAATTTATGAACCTCATCAATAAACAATAATGTAAATAAATAATCATATAACATCTAAAACATGTAAATAAAGAATAGTAGTTTCAGCACCTACATGAGAAGTATTAGTGAAATCATAATTATAAACACGTCAAGTACAAACAACAAGCATAATAACTAACATAATCATATGAATACCATGTAAACCAGTTAAAGCAAAGAAAGTAGAACCATAAACACCATCAGAGATAGTGAAACCGGCAAAAGAGTATTCAAGAATTTGACAGAAAACGAATAAAGCTATAAGTAAAGTACTATAAATAAAACCATATAAAGTATTAGAACGATTACCATTAATTAAAGCATGATGAGCATAAGTAATAGTAACACCAGAAGCTAATAAAATAATAGTATTTAATAAAGGTAATTCAGCTGGTGAAATAGCTTCTATACCCATAGGAGGTCAACTCATACCTATTTCCATAGTAGGATTTAAAGCAGAATGTAAATAAGCTCAGAATAATGAACTAAATATTAATATTTCACTAACTACAAATAATAAGAAACCTTGATTTAATCCTCTTTTTACAGCTATAGTATGATCTCCTAAATATGTACTTTCAGCTATAATATCTTTAAATCATAATGTCATACTATATAATACAGTTATTAAACTTATAAATATAAATATATTATTACTTATATATCCATGTGCTGTTAAACCTAATGATAAAGCTAAATTCATTAAACTAAATGATGTAAATATAGGTCATGGTGAAGGACCTACTAAATGAAATGGATGTAATTGTATATATCCTCTTACATTATTTGTCATTATTTTTTATTTTATATTTTTTAATATACTTTTATATTTATTTTTATTAAGGTATGAGTAAGATTGGAATCGAACCAATATAGATTGCTTAAAAGGCAATAGTCTTGACCATTAGACGACTAACTCTTGTTTATATTTATATTGCCTACGTCGAGAATCGAACTCGCAACCATCGCGCTTCAAGCGAATGCTTTACCAATTAAGCTACAAAGGCCTTGGAGCCTTCGTTGCTTGATAACCTCTTTAAAGGGTCATTAAGCTACAAAGGCTATTTATATATTATATACAAGAGCAAGTAGAATCGAACTACTATAACATGTGTTGAAGACACGGACTTTACCATTAAGCTATACTCTTATTAGGTCATGTAGGAATTGAACCTACGGCTTGGATGTGTAAGATCCATGATTTTACCACTAATCGAATAACCTTTTAATTTTATTCCTTTGGAAATTGATAACCTCAAAATAGATCATAATATCCCGTAGGAAAATTATTTATTTTAATAGTTATACCCCCTTCGGTGCGTTACTATTAATAATAATATTATATTATTTATATATGGTCACCAGATATTTAGTGGCGAAACTAATATAAAATATTGTTTCGTTGGGATTCGAACCCAAATAATCACTTTAGAAGAGTGATGTTCTACCTTTAAACTACAAAACATTACTTCTCCTTCAATGAATATATATAAAATATAAAATAAAACTATGAATAAATATATGAGTATTAAATTAATAGTTAACTATAGTTTATTACCAATATAGAATAAAATATTTTCTATAGAAGAAATAACAGGAACTAAGATAAGATAATAAGCAAAGTAATAAGCAGTAGCATATTGCCCTAATTCAATAAATGGTACTTCAACATGAAGTTGACCTAAGTTACCTAAAAGTATAAAATTAAATATAAATAAAAAGAAAGATAATTTAGATAAAACTTTGAAAGTATTACCTCTAATAACTGATCTATCTGTTATAGGTAAAATTAATAAAATAAGTAAAGCACCAAACATTGCAATAACTCCTCCTAATTTATCTGGTATAGATCTTAATATAGCATAGAAAGGTAATAAATACCATTCAGGAACGATCGAAGGTGGAGTTACCATTGGATTTCCCGGTATATAATTATCACTATGACCCATAGTATTAGGTGAAAAGAATACAAATAAACTAAATATTATTATGAAGACGAATACAGTTACAAGATCTTTGAAAACGAAATAACTATGCATTGGGATTCTATCCATATTACCTGAAATACCAACAGGGTTAGATGAACCATGTATATGTAATGCCATAAAAATGCATAACAACTAAAAGCTGCTAATATAAATGGTAATAAATAAGGTAAAGCAAAGAATCTTTGTATAGTAGGATTACTCTCAGAGAAACCTCCTCAGAAGACATAAGATTTACCTATATATATATATCATTTAAATATATATATATATATAGCCACCAATAATTTGGTGGCGGGGAAAAATATATTATTATCTTTATTGTACGGTATTGTCTTCCATTTTTATTTATATTAAATACATATGGATGTGGGGCGCTCGTGGTTAATTTATGGTTATAGGTACTCATTACCTAGTCGTTGAACGTTTATTATCTTTATAATATTTATTTTTATTTTATTCATATAGATAATACTTCGCTGCGAATTGTCCATATATTTGTAGGGAGTTCCTCGCAATTCACCCTATTTTCCTATAATTCTTACGATTTATGGCCGCTCATCTTATTAATTCTATTAGATTTATATACAATATATACCCACCCCCCCCCCCACCTTCGTGGGGGTAGGAAGATATCCTAGAAATAGGTCATTATATTATATAATGGTAAGATGTTTAATAAACGGAACTATATCTTGTCCTATAAATGGTATAGCTGATAATAAATTAGTAATAACGGTTGCCCCTCAGTGAGACATTTGTCCGTAGACCAAGCAATACAAAATTTTTCGACTGTGCATTAAGCATCATTTCAGATACCCACTTGTGTTCCAGTCTGTAGCGATTATTTATTTAACCGACGATCTTATTATTATACTTTGATCGTTTTCACAAGCATTGCCAATGATATTAAATATCATTAATAATTTAATAAATTATTTACTTACTATAATTTTTCTAATAAAAGTTACAATTATAGCCATATATAGCCATCTGATACTTGATGGTGGTAATATATATGTAAAAGTAGACTATCTATATATATATATATTATCTTCTTATATAATATTTATTGTTTCAATCATAATTATATAAACCTGATTTAATTCTACTTAATTTATTTATAAAATTATTATATAATAAATTATCTTTTACTATTTTATCTGTAAAATCTTTATTACTATTAATATAATTATTATTTAAATATTTACTAAAAATATTAGGAATATAAATTCAACCTATATCTAATGAACGTTTAATAGTTTTATTACTACAGCATAAAAAATGACTAGCAGTATTTATATTTTTAAATTCACATAAATAATTATTATCTAAATCATAAATATTTATTTTTAAATTATTATAGCCACCTGGTTCTTGGTGGTGAAGAATTAATTTACCTTTACGTTCTGATTGAAGTTTACTTAATAATAAACGACGTTCATTAGAAAATGTAGATTTTAATTTTTCAATAGTTTCATCAGTTTGTTTATATCCTATACTAGTACTTGCTTCTCTCAAAATATTATATTTTGGTATTAAAGAAGTTAAATACATTGTTTCTAAATCGTAAAGATTATTACTATATAAATTTATATCTTTTATATAGCCACCAGGTATCTGGTGGCGGGAGTAAAAATCAATATTATCAATTTCTTTATATTTGGGGTAATATTCTAATATACCAAATATAAAATTATTTAAACCATCTTTTAGTATAGCTCTTTTTACTAATTTATTACCATGAAAATTTAACATATGATTAGTAAATCTAGTATATATTTTATTAATACTAGCAGAACCTATATAATAATTACGAGATAATTTATTGATTATTATATAAATACCTCCTTTATTTTTAAGATGTGTAATCATTTTAGAACGAACTTTATTATCTTGTAGATTAATTCAATAATCTTCAACATTAATACTTAATTCTTTAAATATTTCCTCAGGATTAGTTTCATCTTGTTTAGGATTAACATAATAACTTATAAATCTCTTTTGATTGAAAATATATTTTTTATAGCCACCAGATTTCTGGTGGCGAAGATTATTATTATATATAGATTTTGGGCTATTGTTTGTGTAACCCATAAAAGCTGTAGCTATTACTAATATAAATATTATAACTCCTATTGATCAAACTAGAACTCTAGGTGTTTTATAACTACCATAATATAATGCTTTACCTATATGTAAGTATAAACATATAAAGAAGAATGAAGCACCATTTGCATGTATGTATCTTAATAATCAACCTGCATTAACGTCTCTCATAATATGCTCAACTGAATTAAAGGCTAATTCTATATTACTTGAATAATGCATTGCTAAAAATATACCACTAGCTATTTGTATAACTAAACATAACCCTAATAATGAACCAACATTTCATCAATAATTAATTGAACTTGGTTGTGGGCTATCTATTAGATAACTATTAACTAATGATAAATAAGGATTTGATTTTCTTATTGTCATTTTTTTATTGTTTTTAATTAATTCTTTACTTTTATTTATAAAATATATGTCTTTTTTGATCTTCTTACCTTAATAACTTCCCGCAATAAGGTGTAATCCCCCCGAAGGGTATATAACTATGAATAAATTTATATATAAACAAATAATAACCTCGAAAAAGGTAATTATTGATTACTTGGAGATGTTAATACAGGTAACTCAGTAAATGTGTGGTACTCTGCAGGTCTAGTAAGTATTAATTCTAAATCTGATTCTCTTACTTCTCTAGCTAAATTAGACTCTGTAAAGTCAGGTGTAACAGGTACTTCTATTTCTTCATTTTCACCATTTTCTAATTGTACTAAAACACTTTTTAATCCAACTATAACAGATATAACTGATATAGCTGAACCTACACTAGCTATTAAATTTCAACCTATAAATGCATCTGGGTATTGAGGTATACGACGTGGCATACCATTTAGACCTAAGAAATGCATAGGTAAGAAAATAATATTAACTGATATAAATAATAATCAGAAGTGTATTTCACCTCATATACGGTTATATTTTAAACCAAACATAGCTGGTCCTCAATAATAATAACCACCTATAAGGCTAAATAAAGCTCCCATAGAAAGTACGTAATGGAAATGCATATATATTATTAATATATATAATATATATTTGGACTATATCTTTATCTATATAAAATTTATAAATATAAATTACCTTCTTAAATTTTTAACAAAAGGTATTTATCTTATAAAGGATTTTGATATTGTATTTAATCTAATAAAAATCATAATATATTTTATATTCAATACTATTAAATAGTGATATTTTATATTTTATTATTTATATAAATCTTTTTTATTTTTAATCTTATATTACTTGCTAAGTTAATTTTTTAATGGCAAATTTATATTTTTGATGTTTAAATATTATTATATATATATATACTTATTTTTTAGAAGATTTTATGGATATAATAAGTTATGGTTT